CGCTTCGTAAAATCGCCGTGCTAACCGTTTAGTGAAATCGCTATAAACCGAATCTTTCGAGAAGTGCCGAGAAAAATCGCCGAGATTTTCCATCACTGCGATTCCAAACTCAATTTGGAAAAGGTGACCGCATTTAATATTCTGTTAATCTGATCTTTAATTAATTATATCTTTTGACTTTGTAACTGAATATATTAAAGAAATTCTTTTGTTAAATTACAAAGAAACTGAGTTGATTTTACTGTCGTGCATCATACCAGCCGTGCGCCGAACTCTCACTCGAATTTTTCCGCGCGGTGCGCTCTCGCACAACAGTAATCAGCTGAAAGGTGCTACTTGTCAAAAAATAATGTGACATGACACTGCGAGTGCCCTCTGACAGATTTTCTAAGAACTTATTGATTTGCCCTCGTATAATGGGTTATAAGCGTTTAATTTCACAGTTGGAGTCTTGGAATACGAACGAATCGGTCGCAATAAGAGCAGTGTGAAAAGTATAGTTATATATTATCGTATGAACATTGAAAATAGCCGACGTAGTTGAAAATATTGGAAACGTGGATCCGAAAGTTGACGAATATTAGAGATGAAGTGTTTATAATAGAAATACAAGAAGACTTGGAAGTAGACTTTGATAATGGATCAAGATTCCGATGAAGAAATGTTATCCGACGATACTGCTTATGCTAATAATTCGAACAAGTACGATACGGATCACGCAGAGAAATTTGTACTGTCTCTAGAAATCTGTGCACTAAACAGCCGTATAAACATTGCATGATCCGGTGCTACTATACAACGGGTAGTGCTTTAACTGTATGTGCATGATCTGTTTAGCTGATACCGACGTTGTGGGAATATATCTTGCTAAGGAAGCACGATATCGATTATATTGATGTTCTAGACGGTCGGTCTTGCACAAATTACAGAGTGCATGTACACTATATTTTCGAGCAACAAGTGCTCACACTGCACACATTGAAAAACTATTGTAAATAGTATTGTGAGCGAAATGTGGAAAATATGTGTGAAGACTGTAATGTAGATGATGTGCTGTATGTTCTCGGTAATCAGCGAAAGAGAAACATAAATAGTGTGCGAATATCTCCAGTGAAGTTTCTACGCGATTGAGAATTAGATATACGCGAAGAGAAACAGTCGTTATCAGAGATTCCATTTCTGACTCTTTACTCGCGCGATATAGAGTGTACGCAGTTACGAGACGAATGTTACGAGGACGATGACTATGAAACGACATATTGTCGGGATATAAATTTCTATGTAATAAAGGATATTATTGGGCGAAGAAAATCGTGAATAAGAGCGAGCGTTGTTGCAGATGCATTAAGATTTCCGCGGATAGTGACAAGTGTGTTAAACTGCTGATAATTGACAATTTATGTTTGTAGATTTTTTGGGTGCAGATAGCTTCTCTAAAAAATCTATTTCGTGACGAAATCGATGATCAATGTCTTAAATATGAACAATGTATCTTTGCATAGAGACATAATGCCGAGTTGTTACAACATTATGACGTTCTAGATGTAAAAACACGTTTACAACGTGTGTAAACGAGTCATGTGCTCCATGGAAGAGTGCGACGTGATCTGAAGACATAGAAAATCACAAGCGAGTGGAATGCGAACTGCTGGAGCAGTGCGATTAGATCGCTACTCTGGTGAAGTGTTTCGCGTGGCTGCAACGATGCGATGAATGCTTCGAGCGGCTCAAAGAATTTTGTTGTGCCAAGCATCCGCGCCGTTGGACACAGATAATCCGTGGTGGCGTGACTAGCGGGTGCAAAGACGCAATTGGAGCGATGTTTCGTACACGTTAATAACTCGTCGGTACGCGAATGACAACAAAAGATCTCTTATCTGGCGAGAGATTAACACCGCGTTCGAGAATCATGTTTTGACCGGTGTGGTGGTCAACGCGGATTACATCGAGTCGCAGTAGTTTCTGAAAGACAAATAGTGCTCGGGAGAAATAGTACTCGGACGTATGCGAGACGTTATTTATAGAAAATAGTGTGAAAGTGAACACCGCGTTCAACGGCGAGTTCACGACGAACAACAAACGTGACATTAAAAGCATAAACGCTAAGAACATTGAGATATATTGATGCATCGATTTGCGCAAGTGGTATGAACGGCACGTCATTGAGCCCACGTTGACATTGCTCGAAGTGTTTCGAGAATGCAACAGCGGGTGGGCATTGTCACGTATTGAATTTGACTATTAATGTATGTAAACTAAATCTTATGCGTGCGGAATGTCATATCGAAATGCCGCAAGAAATAGACAAAACGAGCAGTGATCGGTGTGCGTACAACGAACAATTCATACTTCGCATGGTGATCGCCGCTCTGTAACCCACAGAAAGAAATGCGAAGTGGAAATATCCGCATATCGTATTCGTATTACACGATATTGTACGATATACGAGTTTTGAATCTCGCAGGCATTGAATTTCCAATGACTTTAAAAAACATTTCCAGATTTGAACGCGGTATCGATCAACGTGTATGGCATCGAGAATAAACAGATACTTCCTCGTGCTGTACACGTAAGATAAACACGACCACAGTCTCGGCACTTTGCGTAGATAAAAAAATTTGTCCGTCCCGTGAGCTCGCAACTTAATAGAAAAAAGAACAAGAAACTTCCTGCGATCGGTAAGTACACATAAAAAAAGTTACAACTTTTCGTTTTACTAATAAAATAATAGCAACAGTTGTGTTCGCACTCGTTATTCGGTAGAAAGGATTGGGTACTGGAGTCAGGAGATGTAATGAGGCGCAATAAAGGGAGAGTTTGCATAAAATTTCTGAGCACTTTATTTCACACTGATAAATCGTATATTTACTTTTGTTTGCTGTGAACGATGTTCGGAACTGTACAAAGATGTAGATGGAAAAATGCGAAGTGCGAGGAGCGAGACTTTGGTAGCAAGTACCACTGTGCGACTGGAGCGGAAGTGGCTGTTTTCGCAGAATTTTATAAGCACCGACTTTCTGGAAAGATCAAGATTGGCCGGTACATTTTCTCAATGTCGGTGGCTATGACGAAGCGGTGACATCGCCAACGTGTCACATTTTCGAGGGCTGGTAGCAGATTTGGATCTACCAGAAGGTTGTCGTTCAAGGATGTCGTCATGGGGGTACGCGCCAATCCCTGAATACGATATGAATCTTCGTCGCGTCGCCCGATCTCTTCAAGACGCCGTGATGCGGCAAGTAGCAACAGACGTCGATCATCGCTCGTCGCAGGAGGTCCGACCGGGGACATGTGTCCGAGTGCGAGATATTCGCGCATGAAGGCTTCGTAGTGTTCTTTGAAGTCCCTGTCTTGCTAGAAGCACCGCCCCATGGCATCTATCATCCAGGAGGCTGAACGCCGGGTTGATAACAGGTTCGGTATCTCGTCACGTGCTGAAAAACGCATTATGTAGCGACCGCTCGGATCAGGAGTGTAAGTGCACTTCACACCGGCAGTCCTCTGCTGAGAAAGAGATAAGACGGGCCTTGTGGATTCCTTCTGCTCCCAGAAATATTGAACCAGAGCCGTTAACTCGTCGAGCGGGGTGCACTGCAGTGTCGTCGCCAAAAACGAGGTACGCTCAAATCCGACGGAATCCAAAATTAGCCACCCCAGCTGCATCTACTGGGCGACTGGTTTACGAGATCTTCCTTGCCGTAAACAAGGCTGGATAATGCGTGCGTAGACTTCGACTCCGAGGCTTGACGAATTCCGGACCCGCGAGTTCGAGTCCGTCGATGTGCGACCAGCCGCCATCAAACGGCTCTCCATACATAGAAAGACGCGGTAGAACGAGGGTGAATATGTGGAGCGTGGTACCATCGAAACACGGAGAAACCGTCAACGTAACACGATCACGCGACGCTCCCGATAAAAGTCCGCCGAAAATTTTGACCGTCGCGACGGTACGACACAGGAGAAGACGCTGCGCAAGGGACTCGATTATGAGCGAGATCTCCGAACTCGAATCGATCAGCGTTCGCGCAGGATGGTGTGCGCCAAACCGATTGGAAGCCATCACATAGGCGATAGCCAACAGCACGGACACACATTTTGTCGGAGACGCGTTAGACGTAAGGGTAGAGTCGATTCGCTTGACATCGGTGTAATGGTCACACTCGCTTCGTGCAGCGAGGTATGATGCCGAGCAGAGCACTTGCTACTTGACGATGGACCAAGGCAGTTGAAGCATAGCTTATGAATATCACTAACGTTCTGTGCTCCTTCGCTGACTTTTGCTTGTATTTCTAGCAGGTCCACAATAAATGCTCTTTCTGGCAGATAGGACAAGTGCGGCGCGATTTTGGACCTCTCCTCTTGACGTGATGAGCGTGGGCGCAGCCGGTCTTCTCGGACGGTTTCCCAGTTGAGGAGGGATCCCCCTTAGCGTCGAGGAGAGCCTCATAGGAAGAAGATCCGCATAGGATGGCGGATTAGAAAATTTTCGCAAAGAAATCTTCCATTCCTTTCGAGTTTTCGCGTTAAACAACTCAGCCACCAAATGCACGAATACGTCAGTACAATCACTAATGGGTCTCTTAATTTCTTCCAGGGCTCCGACTACGGACACCATGTCATGGAAGACGCGTCGCAAGTCGGCCAATGAATCGCTCTTCATCTTTGGAATAGATAGGAAGAGAGACAATGGCAAACCAATAGGCGTTCTTGTAATGATCAGTGAGTGCGAACTACGCCCGGTCAAAATTGTGGACAGTAAATCACGTACGAGATGCTCTGCATTCCACCGCACGCTCGTCTTCGGGTAATGCATCTTTTCTACCTTAGACAGTGTAGCTCCTTGACCACGATGGATACGAATATGTCTCGCCAAGCCAGTCAATCCTCGAACTTGCCAAAAAACTGAGGCAAGTGGATCCGAAGCAGCATACTGCGTAACGCTCCCGATCCGGACAGGGGCTGCGACCTCTCGATGGACGTTTTCTTCATCAATGACTCCTCTAGTCTGGTGCGCTGTAGTAGACGGTCTCAACCATCATCGGGAAATCGGCTATTAGGTACTCGTGCGTCTTGAGCTCAGCACTGAACTCGTCGATCAGCTTCTCATAGCGGGCCTCAAAGTTAGTCTATCGAGTCGGCAACACTTTCAGGGTAGCTCTGATCAGCAAAGCGGTTATCTTGGCCACGCTTGCTTTTTTCAGGTTTTCATATGTATGCGCGTCCATGGATGTACGCGCATACGATACGATGTGTCCATGGAGTTCTCGTTGTCCGTCAATTAACTTCTCCATTTTTCGTTTTAGGCACAAGCTTTCGAAACACATCAACACTGCATTGAACCAACACCGCGAACGTACGAGCATGCTGACCGGTTACGACCGTATCCAGCTCGAAGGACCAGAAAATGTATGCACTCGTTATTCGATAAAAAGAATCGGAATCCTGGCGTCAGGAGACGTGAGGCGCAATAAAGGGAGAATTTGCGTGAGATCTCTGAGCACTTTATTTCACATCGATAAACTCGTACACTTACTTTTGTTCGCCGACGATGTTCAGAACTGTATACAGAAAGATATAGACGGAAAGACGCGAAGTGCAAGGAGTGAGACTTTGGTAGCAAGTACCACTGTGCGACTGGAGCGGAGGCGGCTGTTTTCGCAGTGTTTTATAAGCGTCGATCTTCTGAAAAGATCCAGACTTTCCTAGCACCCGATATGTCGTCATTATAATCTTTCGAGAAGGTCGACATCGTTAGATTTGTGAAGTTGCGATCACCGCCGCTCTAGTTTGAATTGTCTGGGAGCATCGTTGGCGGGGTGCTCCAAGATTCGTTGTATGCTCCGTTACGTCACGCAGAGTTGGCGCTCGGAGCGCTCCCAATTCGCGAGAGGACCCGCGTTCCATCTTGAGCGCATGATTCCTTAAACAAGTTATAATTTTTTTGTTTTTTTCAGATGTCTTCATTATTTCAATTTGAATAAAAAATTACAGTCGCACGCAATGGACTGCGGGAAAATGAACGACTGCGCCATCCGACTACCGAGCGAGGAGAAGTAGTTCGAGTTTGGAAACTATAGTAACAAGAAATGAGTGCCGTTTATAGTCTACCCTGACTTGGAGTGCGTTATACAGAAGACGGAACATCCCCGACAGGAAAGATGCGTCGTTGTACACGTATCAACGACACGAGATTTAATATAGGATTCTACGTGCGATGTTCGTACAACGAAACATTATCAGCATATCAGTTCTGTCGCGATGAAGGTTGTATAGCGTGGTTCGCGCGACAACTCCAAAAATTAGCGCAAAAAATATCGTGTAAAAAATATCGTATACACTAACGTGCATGGAAATGCTGTCGAAAGAACAATAGAAGGCGTATCGTAGCGCGACGCGTTATCACGAGAAACTGTTCGCGCCGGACACGCGGGTACGCGATCATTGCCATTTCACTAATAGATACTGTTGTTCAGCGCATTCAAAAACTGTAATTTTATTTATAAAAATTCATTATATATTCTGATAGTTTTTCATAATTTATCGGGCAACAATGAGCACTTCATAATTAAGGAAATTGCTACCGCTTACGATAGAAATGTATAGGGTGCGTCACCAAAATCCGGATAAATTTCAATTTAAATTTTCCGCTATATTGTGCTTCCGCCAGAGATTGTTGTTGACATCCGAGAAAACATGATACTTCTAGTAAACAGTCACATTCTCAAAATGGCCACGATGTTGCTAGTACGAATTTTATCACGAAATATATACTGTTTCTCGACAAATGTAAAATTATGTACCCCGACACAGACAGTCTTATATACCGCGTCGAGTGCAACAATGTTTACGAGGCAGTGAAACGCGAGACTTGATACAAGCGATTATCCGACGGATACGATATGCCTCTCGTGAAGAAAAAAAAGTGCTCGGTCTGATGAAGGACGTAAATAACATGTGATAATGAAGGAATTCGTTGGACTCAGGGCGAAGATGTACGCGGTGAGGATGGATGGCAAAAAGGACACTAAAAAGGCGAAAGGCGTAAAAAGAAACGTAGCGCGAACGATATTATTCGATGATTACACGCGGTGTTTGAATGAAGAGATCGAAATGTCGTTAATCGTGTATATGATCTAACTGAAGTGTACACAATATCCGAATCGAAAAATCGCTATGAGTTTATACAACGACAAGCAATATGTATGTTTCTTACATTTATATAAATATTACTATTATGTTTTATATAGTACCATTCATTATGTATTACTGTTATTTTTTATTTCATGTATCGTATATTTATATATCCGTATTTTATATCCGTATACTCCAAAACGGAGATGGAAGGAATAATAAAAAATATATTTTATATGTTTATATACTTATATTAATATATTTGTTATAAATATACAAAATATGAATCAAAATTTTATCAAATGACATTGTTTTTGTGTATCCATGAATTGTGCGATTCTTCAAATCTTTGACATCCACCTTGTTTCTCTTCCTGCATAGTACTTTCTTCATGAGATATACGTCTGGATGAGTAGCGCGATACAACTCGTGCTCATAGAACTCTCCAGTGATGAATTCTCTGCGATATTTCTCGAGTAGATAGGTTACGGGATAGATACGCTGCACTTTAATCGTAGACACCTCGGTGGTTCCATTTGGCGTGTAACCCTTCTCAAAAACAGTCTTGTACTGGCTCACGCGCGTACTAAATCGCCTACTTTGAATTTTGCCGAACCCGCGATCTTTATCGCGTTGTACACTGTGCTCAAGAGTCTTTCGCGAGAGTTACGACGGCATGCTGATGCTTGTGCATTGTTGTAATCTGAGACATGGCAATTTGTCGACCCACTTATAATTACCGTAAACAATTTCCACATGTCGTTCTTGAGCGTGCGATTAAATCGCTGACGCGAATACGTGGAATAGTGATTTACGTCGTGTTTTTTCAAGTTTTTTTGCTCATCAGCGTTGTAAAACTCCTTCCCCATATCAGTTTGTAAATTTATCGGACATCTTCTACTCTCTCGAACGATCTGAGTGATAGCGCTAGCCATCTCATTTCCGCCCTTGCTCTTGAGTAGTACGACCCACGCGTATTTGCTCAACATATCAATGACGGTGAATATGTGATGGCCTTTGTTGAAGCTCGAGTATGCATCTCAACGATATCAGCTTGCCACAGGATGTGGTATACCCAGAATTTGACACGACTTTGCGGAAAACTTCTTCTCGCAAGAGCGTACTATTCCTCAACGAATCGATGTCTTTCGGAACTAACTTTTCTCTTTTCGTCAGACTTTTTTTTTATGATTCGACGTGTAATACATAGGACATAAGAAAATAATATATTTTTTCTCGCTGGTGTCACTCGACTGACTCGTTTCATCGATACACAATTAATAATAAAACCGGCTTCGCGAAGTTCATCAATGATCGGCAGCATCTCGTTGTCGTGAGCGCTGTTGTCTGTTCAGTGCGGAGTGTCGAGCAATCGTGGACGATCCACCAGCTCGCTGGAATTATCCCAATGTACGTAATCAATCGCGTTGTCGTTCAGCGTCATTGCGCGAAGTAATCCCTTTCCATATTTTTTTCTTTTGTTTCTTGGGTGTGATCGACATCCATGGCGCGATTACGTGTTTGTACTTGTATCCCTTATTACTCAATAATCAATCCTACGAATGGTACTTGTGTTTGTGCTCGTTCGTCATCAACAGCATGCTTTATACTTATGCATATCGTTATCCGTGTAGAGGGCATCGTTGGAATTTTCTTGAAAATCAATTCGTAAAGGCCGAGTGTATAGTACATCGTCGATAATTATGTTGTTCGAGTCATCTATCTCGAAACATTTATAGTCGAACATTAGTCCATCCGAACATTAGTTGTAAACATCATACATGTGATCTATAGCGCTCTTTTTATCTTGCGTTCCCCTTAAGACAACCTCGTACTTTTGACCCAGCGGACTCAAACCGGTCGCAACGCCTCTCGACTTTCCGATGTTTGCAGCTGATTTTGAACCTTCGTCGCTAACGAGTTTTCCATCATTTCGAAAACGTTCTCCAACAATTCGCGTGCCAAAATCATCGGTACGATTATCGGTTGTACACGATCAATCATTGAACTTATGCAGAGCCATGGAATGCTCGAATGTCTCGCTCGCTTCTTTTCCCTCCTCTTGTTCTTCCTCGTCCTTCCTCTAACGTTTAGTGGCAGACGCTACATCATCGTCGCGCGACTCTCTTTTTGTCGCGCGTACGTCGGAGCTGTCGATGAAAAATCGCAGCGACTCGGTAAGAGGTTTAAAATGTCTGTCTAACGCGATATCCTCTTCGATTCTATTGGTCTTCAGAACGCTATGTTTCTTGAGAAGAGATCAAGATCATCTCCATATTCAACAAAAACTCCATACACCTAATCCATGCAGAGAGGACATGCCAAACTTATAGTGTTTTGTTTCCAAAAGTTTTTTAGAAATGAGATGCAAGTTATTCATCTCTTTAGGAATAGCACCGCATATGTAGCATTTCATAGAAGATTCTGTTAAGGTGGAGCAAATTTTATTATCAACCATTGTTAATAATAATTGATAGCTTACTTTTATATTTTCGCCAATGTGAATTGGAGTTAAATTTGCTATCTCTGTCTGAATTCAATCATATCTGCCTTAATTATTGCGGTATTTTCAGAAATACATTGAAATTTAATTGATCGGCAATATTTCGTCGATGAAGGTTGTGCATTTTTTCCCAAAGAACACTTTGATCATTAACTAATCTCAAAGGTACTAAACAGAACATAAAAATTGAACTGTCTGTTGCTATAGTTGTTATGATATCTCAGTGAATTTTTGTTTGTAGAAAAGACCGGAGTTAATAAACTCATTTTTCAGTTTCGAATTTTTACAGACAAAATTTAGAAACTTATCGAAAAAATTAATTCTACCCCTGTTACTATTGTACATATATTTGACTACTTAATAATATTTTAATAATAAGGGGAAACTGATAACTAATATGAAAAAAATGCATTTTTCGAATGCATTCCATCTGATTCAACTAGCCCCGGGACTGGGGTAATTCGACTAAGATTATTAAAATAAAGATTAATGTATTTTAAGCTACATCTTTGGCTACATATTAATAAAACTTTTAAATAAAAATATATTATATTTTAAACACAAACATTCGCTTCGCAGGGCAAACAATACTTCTTTTTGCAAAATTTATTCATTTCATCGAACAAAAACACGTTGAATAAGCCTAGTTTTCGAGATTGGAACTCGAACATGAGAGAACTAAACTTATAACATTTATCACTGAGGAAAATCTCTTTAAAGGAATAAAATTTTGAGTAAGTATTATAAGAGTCGTCACTAAATGAGTCATATAGTTCCATGGTGTGATTAGTCTACTATCCCCATCCGTTCATTTTTTAAAAACATTAACAATATACGATAACAGAGACACATAAACAAAAAAATCTGTTGGACTTTATTAAGTAAAAACTACACTTATTTAAATAGAAATCAAATAGCTCAGACAATCATATACAATAGTAAAACAAAAATTTTAAAATAAAAATATTTACTTAGGTGTACGATTTTTTAAAATTGTGGCATAACTTCTTTCATAGATGTGTTCGCAACAAGATGTTACAGCAGACTTAGCGGCAGTCACTATTGCGTGCTCAGATTTACGTATGTCTCGCGTGTTTTGTTTTTAATGTATGCCTCGATTATTCTATTTACTCTATATTCAACTGACTCCGATCTCTCCTATAGACTTTGACCACTTGCTCTGTCAAACCTCCACTTATACAAGTATATTAAAATTAAATTTTGCAATTCATGCCTTTCAATATTACAAGCTTATCTCTGAGTGGTCATATTTAACAGAGCTTGTAATTTAATTTGTGCGTAACAGTAATATCTTTTTGTGGAGTATAACAATCTTTTTTCGTCAACAAAACTTTATGATATGAAGGATACCGATTCATCCCGTCTTCTATTGATAGGTTTCTTAATGCAATATTTTGAGACAATTTCAGTGCTAGCATTATTGCCGACGCCTCTTAGAATAAAGAGGTTTTCTTTCAATATATTTTCCTTCGCAAAATTCTCATATTTTTGACGCTTGATCTGGATTTTCCAAGAGGAATATGACTTTAACAATATCTCGATTTTCAGGAACTTGCATTTTCATTTTTGCTGCGAACATCAACTTATTTGCGGAATTCTCTTTTTGTAATGTTTCCGCACACCTTTTTTTTGCTTATTACACAGTTCTAAAAAGAATTTTTTATGTGATCGTTTAACACGTTGCGGTGCAGCAGTTGTCGATATTGATGTCAAGAGTTCACATAATTCCATTTCTGATGAAATTGACTTTAATGTTTTACTCGGTAACTGAAACGAGTGTGTTAGCCACGATTTATTATTTGTTACAAATTTATTGTAAATACGATGAGGTGTAGTCCATTTCTTGTATAATTGAACACAAAATTTCCGCAATGGCTCTTGCAAATATATTTCAGCATTTTCTGCAAAATTGAAATTTGTTTTGACTAAAACACGTTTCAACAGATCTTTATAATGATTCAGTCTTGTATTATTATCCTGTAACATAAGAAATAACTCCAAATAAGGTATGGAATCCATTGTGAAAAACAAAACTCTATCTTTAAAATGAGATCTATAAAGAAATAAATAAGTAGATTAAGGCTGCTGGTATTCATAGTTGGTTCTTATTTTAAGATCGTCTTAAATTACATCAATTTGGTTTTTGTAAATAAAAAGTAAAAAATGCTTACAATTAAACTTAATTTGTAAGTAGTACAAATAAAGTAAAGAATACATATTGCATCAAACATAAAGAGGTAATATAATCCTATGATTTATTCATAATTTTTCAACATCAACCTAGGAAAAAATAAAAACTCATGCTCACTCATCCACTTACAAAATTATAAAAATTGCAATAACTGACATCTGACTTTTTCGATAAATGTGGCTCACGCCTATCGCACGACGCGCCCGCGCCGCCATGCGTCATCTATAAGCCAAGGTCGCAACTTTAAAAGCGTTTTTCTAGATAACGCCTAAGTGCAGTTGATGTCGACGCATTTATTCTATTCAAAACATGTACTTTATCTTCCAATTTTAATTTTCTTCAGCATTAGGCGTTTTTTTTAAAACCATGGTTAAAATAAGGTAAGATATCTAAAAGTGATTATATTCAATTCGTACTACAAGAAAGTATGGTATTCTATGAGACGAAGAAAATGGTATAACATTTGTTAGGAAACAATCTATATTCGTAATAAATTTATGTTGAACAATATTCCACATTTTATTCAATTAAAAAAAACTTAAAAATGTTTGAAGTTAGATGTTTCCAACTAACTTTTCTTCCAATTAGATGCCATATAATTTTGAAAAAAGTGAAATAGGTATATATATATATATACGTAACTAAATAAATATTTTGACTCCTTAATGATTAATATACTTGATTTTTTTCATTCAATGTCCAAGAATTTATGCTTTCTGAATCACTGTACGCCGCTTGCCATTATTCGCGATTTCCTATCGCAGTTCGAGACGCGTATCGTCAGCGATTGCAGCACGAATTTCATGCTCGCACTACTGTACGCTCTCGACCGCCTATTTAAAGGCGTGCAAATCCGCGAGTCGCACAGTAATAAAATGTATCTCGCGCTGTGCCATCTTTTCAACATTCAAGGCTTCAAGCAGTTGTTATATACTGAAGGTCATTCTTATGGTGAATTATATCGACCGCGTGTGGGACAAGCTTCCGGAACATATGAAGGCGGATCCGGAGTTCGAACCTGTCATCGCTACGATGAGCACTACAATCAGCCGTGGCAGCGGATGCACATCGACGGTCCGGCACCGAAGATAAACTGTAGCGAATATCAGCGTCGGGCGGCAGTCTGTTGAATCGAGCGATAAATGCGCTTCCTTTCGAGTTACATCCCGGATTATTAGTTTTGCGGCACTCGACTAACAAAGCAATTAACCAAAGGTGATGCGAGCATGGACGCGGCGTGCCGAGAACACGACATTGCGTATTTTCGGTGCAAC